TATATTAATACTTATTTAATATACAAAAAATATTATGATAATATTTCAAACTTAACTTTTTGTAAAAGAAACAATGTGAAAATGATCCTTTAATTTTTTTAAATATTTTTTCATTATAATTAAATATAATTTTTCTTATACCGTAATTTTACAAAAAAAAAGAAGAATATATGGACATATATGGACATATATTTCGTATGTATATATTTATATGTAATTTATATATTTATATGTATATTTTTATACTTATATATGTATGTATTTATATATATTTATACATATAGAAAAGTAGGATAATTGTGCATATTTTGATTTAACACTTTTCTAATGAATGGAACCGCTATATCGCGGTGAAATTTCTAAGCTAGAGGTAGTTCTTTGCAAATATAACCATAAATTACATATATAATTTGAAAATATAGTTAACGGAAAAAGCGAAAAAAAATAAAATTGCATATTTTGATAGTAATTTTGACATCCAAAAAATAAGATTGTAAATCCGTATTCCTATTTTGCTTATTTAATCGTGCATATCTTATTAAAGTACGTTATTATGTGCGTCTTTTGAGCTATTATTCATTGAATTAAGTTAAAAAGTCATTGAATAACCGTTTTCCTTGTCAAATCAATTTGTGGCTAAAAATTGTGCGCATGGATAGTTCGAAGTTTCCTCCCAATGAAAAGTGCATTATTTGCGATGAATTCGGAAGATATGGAATTGTGCCCAGTCGACAAATTAAAAATAACATGACATCCATGTTATAATTTCCGCAATATAAATATAATATAACACATATTACATAGCAGTTACATTGTAAAGATTGCGAAATTATAACGTTGACATTTTGTTACTTTAGTTTGTGTCGACTGGGTGATTTTAATGCTGCCTAAGTTCTGAATATATAAGTCTATGAAGAATGCAGAGAAGTTGATGATGACGCGGAGAATTACATATGCTATTTTTGTTTAAATAATTTTCCCAATTTTTATTTTTCCAAAGTTTATATTAAGTTTTTATTAATATCGTCTTAACAAATATATTTTTTTATTTCCTTATCAACATTCCATAAAACATGAATTAGAATGAGTATTATTTATTAATTTTTTACGATTTTTGCGTACAATTTACAATGTCGTCGGCGTCGCGTGAGAAATTTTTTCGCTTTTACTTATTTTTTATCAAATATATTATTATCAAATGAAAAATTGTTTAATATGAGAATGCATATTGATAGAGGAATAAATATTTATGGTTTGTATTATATGTGGTTTCCTTATATGTACATATATACCGACTTCAATTTCAAATACTATTTCACAGCAATAAATTCCCCTTAGATGCGCACGATTTCCTCACTTTTCCCTATATGTTTCTTGCACGAAAAATTTTTTTATCGGGTAATCTTTTGTTTTTTGGTCAAAGAAAAAAAATGTTTTAGCACATTCAAATTTCCCAAGTAGATTAGTCAATCTTATCAAAGTACAGAAATAGCAATCTTTGAAAAAAAAACCGTCTTGCGAGCTACCATTTAATGTATCGTTCTAGTGTTAGTTTAACATATAAATGTTTATTTTTTTGTTAAAAAAAAGGCTTCCGCAATTTGTTTCCAAATTTTATCATAGCATTATATTTTTGTATTAGTTTTTTATACAATATTTTTTTTTTAAATAGAAAATTTGTTAGAAAATCTTAAGTCTAATTAAAACACGTAGTAGTGTCTCGAGTGTAAAATTAACCATTTATTACTGTTTTATTGTTATGTTATTTTGTATATGACTTTCGAGACCGGTTGTGTATATTTACGCAATCCATCAATTTATTAGTATCCGAGATTATCGTATCAGCAGTATCAATTAAGTTCTGAATAGATTTAATTGAAAACTTGAGTTTGAATTATATAATAAAGATGTTTTAATTTTTGTATATATAGCATACTGAATACTGGACTCCCAAAATAAGTCTCCAAAATGTTGGCAACCAGGAAGATCTAAGCGAAAGCTCAACAAAAACTTATTATCGATAAAGGAATGAACTAATATTTAATTTCTTATAAATGTTATTAACAAACTCAAAATAATCCAAAATTTTTTTTCTGTTGTTAATATAATAAAGTATTCCATTAATAAAGAATTCTATAATTTCTTTCCTCGAAACAATTTTAACATAACTAACAATAAGTTCATTATCATCATATAGTAAGTACTATCATTATTAATGACAAAATAAGAGAAAAAAGCAATTATTATATATTTATATTAGAAAGTAAAAAGAAAATTTTAATATAAAAAATAAAATTTATGATAATCCCAAATTTAATAAATAAAATCCAATTCATTTATGAGTATCTCAATTTATAATAACAATTCAATAAAATATTTTAAAATGTATTATAGGTTATAAATACAATATAAATAAATAATTGTATCTCTGCAGTTGACAAAAACACATGATTATGACATATTATAATTATAATAGTGTGTGTGTATAATATGTATATCGCGTTAGGTGGTATATATTATCTAAGATTACAATAAAAAAATTTGTTTAATATCGACAAAATTTAATATATTAGAACGAAATATTACAGTATATTTGTATAGACATTTATTAATACAGAATAAATGAGCTTATTCTGTAGTATGTTATAATATTTTTTATGTAATTGCAACATATTCAACAATTCTATTAACAAAGGAATTTAAGAATACAACAATAATAGAATACAACTTTTCTCTATAATACATCTTTTTCATCCGATTTTGTTTAATGCTGTCATTCATAATAATAGTTTTGCACTACACTCAAATTTCATAAATAAACATTACCTTTTCGTCAAAGCAGTGATATAAAAAATTAGAGCACCATTATTATACCACATTTTTTACATTATTATATCATATTTTTTATTGTAATTTTATTATAATTATATTGCGATACTTCCATTGTCTACATTATTTTTATTATACATATAACTTATTGTTAGCTATACGCTGATGCAATACATATGTATATGATATCTATTTCACGCACCATTATTATTTAACAAATTGAATTGGTACAATAATTTTTTACTCAAGGAGGATCACAGAGAGGGATATATGATACATTACAGATTCTTGATTATTTCCTCGAGCACAATTTTCGAAATAGTTTTATAATCACTTTACATGACTGTACTCCGTCTAATCTATGAAATATTCTGAAAATGTATAGTTAAAAAATAATAATTATCTTCAATAATAATTTATCTTTATAATAATAGATTATTACTACGAGTATTTCACATAAACATATAGAATTACGCACAAATGCTTGAATAATACAACAGTAAACAGTTTTCATTAAAACTTCTGCAATAAACATTGACCCAGTAAAACTCGAATATAGGTACAACCAAAAGCACATATGATTCCATTACTTCTTTTTACATTTCGCAATCATCAAGATATATGAATTGAAGTAAATGCTTCCATGTGCAAATTTTATTTTATTATCCTTTTTTATTTGGATTTTGGGTCATGCAAGAAAAACAACTGTTCAATATTCGATATAAACAGTAATATAAAATTTTGCTTTACTTACAAATAAACTTATTCGAGTATAACTTTTTTTGATTTGGCTTAAATGTAGAACTAAGTATATGAAAAATATTTTATATATGTATTTCTATTTCGGCCCATAATCGATTTTAAAGACAGTTACTATTCTTCCAATTTTTACCTTCTTATCAACTATAAACCAAATAATAACATTTAACAAATATTTAAATACAAAGACATAAAAATTTTTTGGTTCGTTGATTACAAAATTACAAACAGTTAAACAAATTAGAAAGAAAATTGAGAAAAATATAATATTAAAATATATCTTATTTATATAAATTATTCGGATTTTAAATGACATTTAATTCGTAAAATAAATCGTTAAAAATTTTTTTAAACAATAAATTAGCAACATGGTTGGAAAAAATTAAAGTATTTTGTGATAAGTTATTAGATATAAATTTTTAGTTTATATAAATTTTTAGATTACTGATTACATATATTATTGACGTAGACTTTCTTTTGTAATATTATATAACATTTTTTATAATAGTAAAAAATTAAAATTTAAGGAAGTAAAAATTTAATGATTAATTATGTTTAAACTTTAACAATTTTTCTTTTCTTCTATCTATCTTTTCTTTTTGGAAAATTTTATTTACAAAGGATTATCTCGCAATTTTCCAAAAAACTCATATCTATTCAACTATTTGTTAGATATTATGTACTTTCCAACAAGCAACACAATGTAATATCATTTTTTTTTGTTTAACATTAGCAAACAACAAGGATGTTAAGATTCACAGTGTTACTCTGTGTCATCTGTGTTGCTTGCTGGAAATAAAGGCGGACTGGCCCACCAGATAATCGGCTAAATGCCCGATAGGACCCTAAGAAAAGAGCAAAAGAAAAAAATTGGAAATGCTTTTCTTAAAGGGTATCACATATAGATGATTCTTTTGAAAGAAACCTTTTTAATGCCATGATTGATTTTGTCGACACTTTCTAATTTCAATTGTAGAAAATATGCCATTATGTTAAGTATTTTTCTTTAAATATATTACTGTTTATTATTATTTAATTAAAACAAATAAATAAAAAAATAAATATACAAATAAATATATAAATGAATAAATAAATATTTAAATAAATAAATATAGATTGTGTGGACAATTTCCTTTAATTTCAAATTCTATTTAGTGCGTGTGCAATAAATATGCTCTAATAGAGATGAAATACATCTTTTTTTTTTGCTTATTTGTTTTGCTTGGAATCAGTATATTGGCGCTTGTCCAAACATCTCTTTGGAAAGGCCCCAAAAGACGGGATTCCTAATTTTCCTGTAATATTTCAGATCTCAGTCCGGCTGGAAAGCACATTCTGTTTATAGCTAACAAAAGAGTAAAAGAGTAAATAACAACTGTCTTTAAAATCGCTTATGGATCAAAATGAAAAAAACATAGATATATATTTCTCATAGTTTTACATTTATGCTAGATTTAAAATTGGAGTGTTATACTTGAGTACATTTACTTGTTAGAAATGCAATAGTTGTAATCTGGGAACACGGTAGCATCTCGGCGTTAAGATATGGCGCGAGACACTGTAATACATATAAGGGCCTTTGTAAGTAGAATGTCCAGTGTCGTCACAGAAATACACATGTTAAACATTTTTCATATTTTTTTGAAGATATTTGGAGGCATTATATTTTTACTTGAGTGTAAAATTACGATATAAAATAATAATAATAAAAAAGTGAATACATTCGAGAATGTTTATTGTAAATAAAAGTATTCAAAAGAATTAAATTCGAATATATAATTTTCACAAGAATGTACAATTTTATCTTAATTTTGTTTTAAAAGTAGGAAACAATTTTTAATAGTTTAGATAATAAATTCAATGGAAAGCCCAGATAATTTATGATTAATTTTCTATAAAAATAACCGACAAAAGAACTATTATTTCTTTAATATAAATGTTATATAGATCTTATAATAGATTTGATAAAACAATAAACTCCACTTTTGTCGGATATCAACGCTATACTACATAATTGCAAGGACAAATTATGAAAAGAGAATTTGTGAAGGCCACTACAGATTTCGAAAACTTTTCTCTTATTCTATTCTGCTGTTTCTACACGTGAGAGAGTCGGAAGAGTTTTGGAAAGCTGCGAGCTCGCTGTGGTCTTGACACATTTATGTATAACGCGTATGTATGATATGCAAAATGCGCTTCAGTTGATATACTTTTCCATTTGATACATGTCGACTAGTAAACGCGAGATTGGTATTTCTCCGATGGTTTCGTGAAAGAATAGACGTTCGACGGTCTTAGAAGAGACGCACCTAAGATATCCGACCAGAATCATCAATCTGCCGATTCTACTAGGTTGCTGTGGATATCGTGACCTTGTATAATCCACTAAAATACGTTGTGCCTGATCTTGCAGTATCTCAATGGGCTGGACCGCGTGCAAACCTACCGTCTCTGCGATTTACAAAAAAAGATATACTGTATACGATATCCGTCCCTTAATAAGCAAGAGCAAAATCGATCAAAATAATTATCACAAAAGGATAAATATGACTGACCTTTCACAAATAATGCAATAATCATTATTGTTTAATGATTTTAAGAAATCATTTAAGAAAGCAATATATTATGACAAATAATCTAAAATAAATAAAATAATATATAATGAGAGTTAACATCTCAGTTTAATCTTTAAACGCATTGTTGAATATAGCATACTTGATTTTTTTCCAATACTTTTCCATAATGCTTTTCCATTTTTTGCGTTATTATCGTTTTGTCCTTATTTTCTTTAATGTTTAATGTTTTGGTTAAAACTCATACGGCACAAAATTTGCAGCAACATCGCTGCAAAAAATCTCTGCAATATTACTGCAACATGTAATGTTGCAACAATGTTGTGAAATATCACCCGGATACCCCCGTAAATCATTTTATTCCTATTTAACATTAGGTGAATAATAAGGACAAATACAGATACATTCGGGATGTTTCCGAACGCAGCCTTAGTAATACTATAATCAGCGAATCAAGATCCTGATTTGAAATATTTCCACTTATGTATATTAAGAAGATTACATAATGTCTACAATTTTAACGACAAATTATTTGATGATGTTAAACAAAGTTATATAATAGAAAACTAATTGTTACTGCCATTTATACAAATTGTAAAATTTTGTACACCATCGAAGAGGATCATAGTAAAATGATTGAAAAGTTTAAAATTTAAAAAAGATGTTTTATTAAGTATCAGCTTAATAGATTCGGTTCCTTCAGTCCTTAATTGTTTAGTTAAATTATATTAAAATTTCACAATATTGATGCATTATTTCCGACATAATATTTAAATTTCAATATTGCAGTAATATCACTGCAATTTTTGTAATATTGCGCACTATTAAAATATGGCTGCAGTATTTCATGCTGTAGGGGTATTACAATCAAATTAGGCTATACCCAATGTATTGTTCTTATA